TTTCCCTGATGATTAGTGATGTTGAATATTTTTTCGTATGTTTGTTGGCCATTCATCTATCTTCTTTTGAAAAATTTTTACTCACTTTTTAATGAGGTTGTTAATTTTTTTCTTGCTGATTTGTTTGAGTTCTTTCTAGATTCTATATACTAGCCCTTTATCAAAAATACAGCTTGCAAATATTTTCTCCCATAATGTCTATTTACTCTGTCAATTATTTCCTTAGTTGTGCAGAAGCTTTATTATTCAATCGAGTCCCATTTATTTATTTTTGTTTCTTCTGTATTTGCCATTGGGGTCTTAGTCATAAATTTTTTGCCTATGGCAATATCTAGAAGAGTTTTTCCAACATTTTCTTCCAGAATTCTTGTGGTTTCATGCCTTACATTTAAGTTCTTTATCCATCCTGAATTAATTTTTGTGAGTGGTGAGAGATAGGGGTCCTGTTTCATTCTTCTGCATGTGGCTATCCAATTTTCCCAGCACCATTTATTGAATAGGGCTTCTTTTCCCCAGAGTGCATTGTTGTCTGCTTTGGCAAAGATCAGTTGGCTGTAGGTAGATGGTTTATATCTTGGTTCTCTATTCTGTTTCATTGGTCTATGTCTCTATTTTTGTACCAATATCATACTGTTTTGGTTACTATAGCCTTGTACTGTAGTTTGAAGTCTGGGAATGTGATGTCTCCAGGTTTGTTATTTTTGCTTAGTATTGCTTTGGCTATTCTGGTTCTTTTCTGGTTCCAAATGAAGGGTAGAATTATTTTTTTCTAGATCTGTGAAATATGCCATTGGTATTTTGATGGGGACTGCATTGAATCTGTACATCACTTTGGGTAGTATGGACATTTTAACAATATTGATTCTGCCGACCCATGAGCATGATATGTTTTTCCATCTGTTTGTGTCATTGGCAATTTCTTTCCTCAGTGATTTGCAGTTCTCTTTGTAGAGATCTTTCACCTCCTTGGTTAAGTATATTCCTAGGTATTTCATTTTCTTTATAGCTATTGTAAATGTTATTGAGTCTTTGATTTGACTCTCAGCTTGACTGTTATTGAAGTATGGAAATGCCACTGATTTGTGTACATTGATTTTGTAACCTGAGACTTTGCTGCATTTATCAATTCCAGGAGTCTTTTGGTGGAATCTTTGGAATTTTGTAGATATAAGATCATATCATCAGCAAAAAGCTTTTGATTTCCATCTTAATTTCATTGTTGACCCAATAATTCTTCAGAAACAGGTTGCTTAATCTCCATGATTTTGTTTGGAATTGAGTGCTACACTTAGAATTGATTTCTAATTTTAATCAACTATGATCTGAGAAGATATATGGTATGATTTCAATTTTTTAAATATATTGAGACATGTTTTCTGGCCTAAGATATGATCAATCTCAAAATATGTCCCATATGCTAATGAGAAGAATGTATATTCAGTAGTTTTGGAATAGAATATTCTGTAAATATCTGTTAGGTCCATTTTTTCTAGGTTCCCACTTAAGTCTAGTGTTTATTTATTTTCTGTTTTGATGATCTGTTCAACTCTGATCGTGGGTTGTTAAAGTCCCCAGCAATTACAATGCTATTATTTATTTCCTTGCTTAACCTTAGCAGAATTTGTTTTATGTATCTGGGAGCTCCTGGTTAGGTGCATGTATTTAGGATTGTTATGTCTTCTTGTTGAATTTCTCCCTTCGCTATTGTAGAATGATCATCTTTGTCTTTCTTTACCATTGTCGATTTAAAGTCAATCTTGCCTGATATGAGAATGGCTATACCTGCTCTCTTTTGGTTTCCATTTGAGTGGAATATTTTTTTCCATCCTTTCTCTTTGGGCTTGTTTGCATCTTTGTGGTTTAAATGTGTCTCCCAGAGGCAGCAGAGACTTGGGTTGTTTTTTCATCCATTCAGCCAGCCTATGTCTTTTGAGTGGTGCATTTAAGCCATTAATGTTAAGAGATAGAATTGATATATGTGACACTGTTCTGTTCATCATATTGGGTAGTGCCTTGTTGCTTTGTTTTTTTCCTTATGCTATTGTTTTATATGAGTTGTGAGCTTTAGCTTTTTTGGGTGGTTTTACAACAGTGGGAATCTACGGTGCTGATTCATATATAATGCAGTTCTGAGTGTTTCCTGCAGGACAGGTCTGGTCATGACAAATTCCCTCAGTGTTTGCTTGTCTGGAAAAGGCTTAATTTCTCCATCAATTGTGAAACTTAATTTTACTGGATACAAAATTCTATGCTGGAAGTTGTTCTGTTTGAGAAGATTGAACATGGGGCCCCACTCCCTCCTGGCTTATAAAATTTCCACTGAGAAGTCTGCTGTAAATCTGATGGATTTTCCCTTGTAGATCAGTTGTTTCTTATATCTAGCTGCTGTGTAAATTTCTTTTTCGTATTGACTTTGGCCAGGTTGAGTGCTATGTGTCTCAGAAATGTCCTGTTTGCTATGAATCTTCCAAGTGTTTGTTGACCATCTTGTATCTAGATGTCTGGATCTCTGGTGATACCAGGGAATTTTTCCTTAATAATTCCCTCAAACAGATTTTTCATGCTTTTAGCTCTTCCTTTTTCTCCCTCAGGGATATCTATAATTCGTATGTAAGTTCACTTCTATAGGCCCATATCTCTCTAAGTGATGGCTCTGCCTTTTTGTTCTCTTCTCTGCCTCTTTAAATGACTGAGTTAGCTTGAGAGCTGTGTCTTCAGGTTCTGAGATTCTTTCTTCTCCTTGGTTTAATCTATTGCTGAAACTTTCTGCTGTGTTTTGAAATTCCTAAATGACTCTTTCATTTAAGTTCTATTATGTCCTTCCTTATGTTGTCTAGTTCTTTAGTGACTTTTTCATTAATTTCCTGAAATATTTTTTGGCTTCTTTCTGTTGGTTTTCAACTTTCTGTTCTATTCCATTCATCTTATTTGTCATCCATATTCTGAATTTCATTTCTGTCATTTTGACAAATTCCTTGTAGTTGGAGTTCACTACTGTAGCTCCATTGATATCCCTGGGAGTGTCAATCTGTTTTGATATTTCATGTCACCAGGTTTCTTTTGCTGGTTTCTTCTCATCTGAACCCTCTTTTCTCTACTCAGGGCTAATAGGTTTTCAGGGCATCTGTTCTTTCCTGGGAACTAGAAGGGGAGGTCCTTAGATGGTGCTTCCCCCCACACTCCAGAATGTTGATGCAGCAGAGGAAGGAAGTGTACACTAGGGCCTGTAATACAGCTGTCCCGATTTTTTCTGTTCACCTGTGTTTGCCTCTGTTCAAACCTGTTCTGGATGCTGTTTGTACTGGATGTTGGGTTGTTCGCCAGATAGTTGTAGAATGTTCAAGTTGTAGCTGGGCAAGACCCTCTTCAATGAGTCTGGTGTTGTGGGAATTGCTCTATCTGGGATCTTCCCACAGAGGTGACAGTAGCAGCTGGATTAGGCTATCTAAGCAGTGATAGGGGATCCTGGGCTGTGGGTGTTTGCTCAAACCAGGTCACAGCGTACTGGCAGCTTGAGGCTAGGGTGGTCCCAGGCAGGGCATTGGACTTTGTAGGAGTTCCTCTGGCCCTGCAGAAGTAGTGGAGGCTCCAGAGTGGGGTCTTAGGGCCCAGGTGCAGCACTAGAATCTTGGGGATGTTGTCCCAGGCATGGTGGGAGCTCTGGAGGCACAGAGGCAGAGCTTTGGGCTCCAGCCTGACAGCCTCAGAGCTGGGACTGTGGAGGAGCCAGAAGCAGGGCCATGTGAGTGATGGGGCTGACCCCACTTGGAGGGCAGGGTAAGGGTCAAGCAGACAGGAGTCTTTTGGGGCCTGGAGGGTGGAGTCAGGGCCAAGCAAGTGGCAGGCTGCTTTGCAGCCTCAGGGACCGTGCAGATGCTAAGTCATGAGGGCAGAGGTCAGTTCCAGGGGTCAAGGGACCATGGAGATCTCCCTGCACCCCCTATGACCCACCAAAGCAGTTGCCCAAAGCCTCCCAGGTCAGAGCCTGCTGTGCCCCAGTCAATTCCTGTGCTTAGATCCTGTTGTGCTGTAGGGGAGGGGTACTCAGCTTCCAGTCACAGGATATGGCTCAGTGGAACCTCCCATTAGTCTGGTCCCTCCCCAGCCCAGTGCCATCCTGGTGCCATGCACTCGAGAGCTCGGGACGGTTTTAGCAGCTGCCCAATCCCCACCACGCCTGTTGTCTGGTGTGATGACTCCACACAGTCTCCAGGCAGGTCCCCGGCCTGACCAGGTGGAGGTCTGTCGTGGTGGAGGGAGCCATCTCACAACTCACACAGTGCCAGCAGGGTGAGTGTGGCGCCCGAGTGCTCTATCCTCCTATTTTTCCCACACATGCTTTGATCTTGATCTTGTTAAATAGATCGCCCTGTCACCTTTTCTTTCTACACTGAATGTCTCATGTTGCTCCTCTGTGATTTCACAATGTTCCTTCAGAGAAAAGCGATCTGTATGTAGGCAGCTGCCTGCAGTTTTCAGTTCTTTCCTTGAGAGCATGTGCTGGCAGGCAGCTTCTGTCCACCATTTTTTCTCTGTAGGCAACATAACCTTTCTGTTCCTCAGCTTAGGTACTGTAGGACTGTTAAAAGAATAAATGTCAGTGCATGTTAAAACAAACAAAATGCCTTCTACAGGACCTGGAATGTAGTGGATATTTCATAAATTTTAGTTCCTTTATATCTCATGAACATAGGTATGGAGACTTGTTTTTATATAGACCACCTATTTATTTTATGTTTACCATATATTTATAAACAAATTGACAAGAGAGTAAGTCTTCCGGATAACTGCATCCTTCACCAGAAAGATAGGGGGCTGGGTATGCTCTAGGATTCTAAGACTCTGTGACTCAATAACAGTGATTCTGAGGTTCTGTTACTGAGTAATTGCTAAGGGCTTCATTGCTCAGGACTCCATGTGACACTGATGGAGAAGTAGACCATGATTTGGGCCCCAACATTCACTCACTTATTCTCTTAATAGAGTTCTGCCATTGAATCATGGAGTCACCATCCCAGGACAAAAGGGCAGCTCCTGTCATCACCATACAACCAAAGGAAATCATATTTACTGCATTACCCTATAGACCCCATGCCACTCTGCTTGAGTTCCTGAGGGGAGAGCCAAAAGTCTTGGGGGTAAGTCCACTCCAATCAATGGGTCTTTCTGGAGGAAGAAACGAGGTTTATTTCTTCTTGTTTGTCTTCAGAGATACCACCGTACAATGATTTTTCAGGGAGGGAGTTGATTCCACTTCCCCCCTCATCTTTCATCTGCAATGTATCCTTCTTTATTAATCATAAATACTTCTAAGTCATTTGCTCGTACAAAGAATTGGATCATCAGTAGAAAAGCCAATAATACCATTTCCCTAGATTTTGATAAGCAAGAGAAAAAGTTCTGTTTAGAAACACACACAGTTTGCCTCATGTCTTAGTAATGTTTCTGAGGGCTTAACTCTAAGAAATAGATTATTTAACTCTAATTAGTAAGTCTCCTAACCTGGAAGAAATCCTAGGGCTATTTCATAAGGAGTTAGTACTGGCATTTGAATCCTAGCAGAAGGAAATCAGGAAACTGGTATAAAATTTTTAAATATCTTAGTGAGGAAGCGACCTCAGGGTGTGGTGCCACCTCCCTTAGTGTTAAGAAGCCATCAGAGGAGAGGTTACACTTCCCCTTTGTGCTCGTACAGGCATAGGTAGTACTTTGAAAACCATATTCAAAGCACCATAGTGAACTACATGATAAATATACACACAAACATTTTTTCATCATAAGTATACTTAGGGGAGAGCTGTCTACACAACCTCCATCCTTAGTACAATAGTAAAATCACTACTTGCAGTGTGGTGCCATAGAGGTGTGGCCTGGAGACAAAACCTAGACTGCTAAACAGCCACTTCTGCCTCAAGAATAGCCACTGCCCCTGCAAGACTACTGTGCTATTCATCTCTCTGCAGAGTCCTGCAGGCTGATGGACCCACTGGGTTGCTTCTATCTCTAACCAGGCCCTTGGATGAAGGGGAGGTGAGACAAAAGCTCACCCGAGCTTCTCCACCCTATGTCTGCAAACTTTAGAGAACTGGAATGAGCCCTAATTCCGAAAGTGTGTGGTGAATGTTGGAAAACGGTGGAAGGGATGAGAACAGTACTAGGACGCTTGTGCTACAGAAGGGGAAAAATGCAAAGGTCAATAGTTTGTAGTCCCTGTCCTCAGGAAGCTTATAATCTAGGTGTAGCCAGACATGTGCTTGAAAACGATCTGATACAGGATAAATTGGTGACCCCAGGGAATACAGGAAGCAATGAGGGACAAGAGTGAAGGATTCGAACCCAAAGGACCCAAGCAAGCATGATGGGGAAAAAGACACTTGAACTGAGTCTTCTGAATGTCTGAGAGCAGTTGGAAAATGGGAGGGGAAGGGATTCAGACTGTGGGAAACGTGTGCCATAACACGAAGGCACGTCCGAGGGACCTGGGGGCGCCCAAAGGGGTGAGACCACTTGTAACCTCACGTGCCCATTTCTCTCCTCACAGGCTCTCCAGATGATGCTTGGTCTGATCATCACAGGCCTTGGAATGATATTTGTATTTAATTTCCTCGTTTTCTCCCAAGGATTTCCCCTTGTTTTCCTCACAGGATATCCATTCTGGGGAGCATTAATTGTGAGTACTGTTGATTAGGAGCTTCTGAGAAACTGATAAAGACTGATTTGAACCGTGTCAAGTCCTAGGATAATGAATTCCATAAATTTGGCTCCCAGGAGACCAAAAAGGCAGTCCCCTTCATAGCAAAAGAAATGACGCCATTTGGTCTTTGCACTACCATCATCATAGTAATAATTATTCTCAAGGGTTCAGTGCTTTAAAGTTTCCAGCGCCCTTGTGTGTGGAGTAAGTCATTGGCTCCTCACTACCAATCTTGGAGATTAGGGGCAAATATCCTATTTTCTCCTTTGCACATAAGGAAATTGAGCTTGAGAGTAGGTAATAACTTAAACACATCTAGCTAGTGCTCACAGGGTCACAGACTCTCATGGCTTAAGGAGAATTTTAAGATTATTATAGCTCAACCCTCTTCTTAGGCCCAGAGACAATTTTATGAATGCCATTCATCTAGGTAGGTAATAATAGAGCCATAAATATTATTCTTAGTACAGTGCTTTGTTCACTCAATCTCACAGCCTTCGTTCCTAATCTTGGCCATAATATTTAAGGGTGGTCTCATTAGAGCTTCCCCTACTAAAACATACACTCCCAAGAGGGCAAGAAATTGTTGTTTTATTGCTGTTATATTCTCAGAATCTAGAATCATGCTTGAGGTGTAGTGTGCATGAATGAGTGAATGATTGAATGAATCAGTCAACGAACACATGGATGAAATAATGAATACATTAGACCATTGTCTCTATTAAAAACTATTAAAAACTCACACTTCTTTTGATAAACATAAATACCCCATGCCTTTTTCTATAATTTGAATTTCAAAAACAACTGGTAGTGTTTCCACTTTCCCAATATAAAAATATTGAATATGATTTTCAAACTACACATGCTTTACTATAGAAAATCAAATAGACCATCTCCTCACTTCCCCATTTCACAACAGGATTTTCCCAGCGTGACTGTGTGTAATCTTGCATGTGAATTATAATGATGTTCTGGCCTGCTGCTTTTTAAAATGCCACTCTTCCTTGCAAAGATATGTACTGAGTACGTCTTCAGTAGTGTCCTAGGTGCTGAGAAGTACTAATATATACAAGGCCCTGAGAGAAGTGGTGAATTATTCTTAGAATTAGACAAAGTGTCATCTAACAGGAAGGCTAGAAATGAAAAAGCAAAAAGCAATGGATTTGTCCTTACACTTGTGCTAAGTGCTCTAAGAGAGGAGTCTCAGGTGCCATTCGAGGGCTTAATGGAGGACTCACCTGGCCTGGGAGGTCAGGGAAATGCTTTACACATAGGTGCTCACTGGGTGAAGAGGAGGGAAAGTGTCTGCCTCCTCAAAAAGCATCACACCAAGGGCATGATGTGGGAAAGAGCAACTGAAAGAAGGTCAATGAGTCTATGGTTGTGGCATAAAAAAATAAGGCCATAAATGAAGCCTGGAACCAAGTCATGCCAGCCCTTGTACTCACATTAAGAACGTGGAACTTCAAAATGAAAGTAAGGGAAAAAATCCACTGAAAATTTTTAAAGAAGGTAGTAATATTTGAGGACTTGTTATTATTGAAATATTATTGTCTTTTCTGAGTGGAAAATGAATTCAAGGATGGTAACAGCAAACCTGGGAGAAACTGAGAGGAGGCTGCACTAATCCAGGGGAGGAAAGATGGTGCCCTGAATGGGCTGGACAGCAATGGAGATAGAGCGAGATGGAGAGTTTTGAGGGTGACTTGGAGGTAGAACTGATAGGACCTGGAGATCCGATGTGGGGAGTGAAGTGGAGAGAGGTATCAAAGGTACCTTTCCTATCTCTGCACCCTGGAGTTTCTTGGACTCCAAGACCTGGATGTCCTCAAGGTCCATTGTCAATTCCCACAAAGGAGGTCCCCATTTCCAGAACATTAAAAAAGAAAAAGTAAGGGGTTCCATGTTGAGTGGCTGAGTTCTAATTTTTCCTTTATGGTCCTGGAAAAGGAGTGACTGGGAAAACCATACTAGATTTCAGCCCCCGTCTCAGCCTTTAGAGGGGTCCTCCCTGAGAAAGTCTCCCTGCACCTGCTCGGAATGGACAGAGCTCCTTCTACCCTCTTCCAGGCCCAGAGCCCAGGAATCTCTTTGTTTTTGGAGCCCAGATGGGCCAAACATCTGGCTGGTATCTTCTGGACCTTTAAGAGGAGGCCGCCTCTCCCACTAACCCTGGAAGAGTGCCTTTGTTTGGTGCTCAGCAGTCCAGCACAGGACTTTTTCTGACTTCAGTGCCTACCCTCCCTCATCCCTAATGCTCAGGTGGGAAGACTAGATGATCTGGGAGATTCACAAACAGATAGTTTGTGAATCCAAACGAGATTATATTGAAAGGTGGCCAAACACATCACCTGTTAACCTTTGGCTCTTGTCTTCCTAACAGTTTATTCTTACAGGATACCTCACAGGAATTGATGAGAAATCAACAAAAATTCTGGTAAGTCACTTTTGGGACTTCTATGTAATTTGAAATCTTCTATTTGCTTTATATCATCTATATGCATAAAGTCTTTAGTAATAAAGTCTCTCTCATGGCCGGGTGCGGTGGCTCACACCTGTAATCCTAGCACTCTGGGAGGCCGAGGCGGGTGGATTGTTTGAGCTCAGGAGTTCGAGACCAGCCTGAGCAAGAGTGAGACCCCGTCTCTACCAAAAATAGAAATTAATTGGATAGCTAAAAAAAAATATATAGAAAAAATTAGCCAGGCATTGTGGCACGTGCCTGTAGTCCCAGCTACTCAGGAGGCTGAGGCAGGAGGATCGCTTGAGCCCAGGAGTGTGAGGTTGCTGTGAGCTAGGCTGACGCCATGACACTCACTCTAGCCCGGGCAACAGCGTGAGACTCTGTCTCAAAAAAAAAAAAAAATGTTTCTCAAAAAAAAAAAAATAAATAAAGTCTCTCTCAGGAAGATATTGATACATCAAATTTGCAGTTCAAATCATTCCTGTTTGTCAATGCCACCGTTAGCCCTACGCCCTCATGCTGGTTCCCATTTCTCTGGTTAAATAAACTCAGAATTTCTTAGTGGAAACCATTCAACATCCTCTAACTCAACGATTCTTAACTGGGGGTAATTCCCCGATTCCTTCCCCCTTGGGAATATTTGACACGCCTGAAGACATATTTGTTTGCCACAACTGGGTGAAAGTGCTATTGGCATCCAGTGGGTAGAAACCAAGGATATTTCTAAACACCCTAAAATGCACAGGGCAGTCTCTCACAATAACAGCAACAAAAATTATACGACCAAAAACGTCTATAGTACCAAGGCTGTGAAACCCTTCTCTAACCAAAATCAATTCTGGGATCCCAGGAATTCTTTGCCCCAAACCAATCCTACCTCCACTACCAACAGAGGCTTTTCTTTGGAGTCTGCCCAAGGTCTAGAAGAAAGGGCCTGGGCATTGATGCTGAACTATTTTAAGATTGAATCAAGGATACCACTCCCTGCTCTGTCAACCTGAAGGGAAGTTACATAATTCTAAGGGTAATTTTGAGGATTTAGTAAGATATGAAAGACATGATGATAGTTGAATGTTAGTACTCCCTTCTAACCACTCTGATCTTGTCTCAGGGCCTGCAGATGTGGGCCTTCTCTCAGTCATTTTAACTCTGTTCCTATGGTCCTCTGCCAATTTCCTCTAGGGATAGTTACAAGCCATAGAGAAGTTCTGGGGGGATGAATGTTCCCATGTCTACCTACGAAAATAAATGCAGATAGTGTAGAGGAAGCCCCCAAATGCTGTTCTCTCTGTATTGACTTCCATCCACAGCTGAGAACTATCCTAAGGTTAAAGCAGACCTACCCCTGACTCACGAAGAGCCATGCAGAAGAGGTGGGCAGGAAGGTGTGGGGGCAGGAGCGCTGAACTGGGCATCAGAAGACCTGGCTTTCCATCACAGCTGTGCCACCAACTGTGGGAGTGCCCACAGCCACTTAATTCCTGAACCCCATTCATCTGTAAAAAGGGGATAACAAGTGTCCTACCTACATCGCAAAACTGTAATGAGGATCAGAGGAGACTAGGCTGGGCATGTTCTTTGCAAAGCACAATACACATGAGGAGCTGCTTACCTAAAGACCTTAGTCTAGTAAATGTCCTTGGGAGCCAAAGTAGAGCCTTGAGAAAACAAAGGGCTGAAGACTGAGAGAGATGACGTATCTGTATGTCCCTGTGCATTTTCTGCCAAAATTCATGTTTGCAATAAAGACCTGGCTTTGGGTAAACATTAAGCCATAAGTATACCTCCAAGGCCTGCCACAAACTGCTAAGCCACACTAAGCCACCAACTGCTCCAGGAAGGATCAGCTGTGTAAATGCATCATTGCATTTCCCATCACAACAGACATAAGACAGTCAATAAAGGGACAGTAAATGTCTGCTGAATTGAGATGTGAGGTTTTTCCTTGTTTTTCCTTTAAAAGAGCAATATCAGTGCTAGGAGTGGGTAAGAAGAAACCAGTAAGACGTTCCCCTTCCTTTGAAGCAACTCAGACATACGTACACCCTCCTCCCTCCAAAAAAAATAAGAATGAATAAAGGGAATTGGGTGGGGCAATCTGAAATTTTTTATGCCTTCCATATTGGAACACCAAGATCAAGAAAAGAAACCTTTAAACTCCAGACCACATTTGTTACCAGCTTTAAATGTGTTAATGATTTCATTGGTCATTGTTTGAATTCTCCTGGAGAATGAACACAAACCACGCGATGGCAGGACATCATCTCTGCTGTTCATCGTTGTGTCCCCAGGGCCTACTGCAATGCCTCACTCATATTTGGTCATTTATTTCATAAATTAATGAATAGATACTACCCTAAAGTCAAGGGATGTCATTCACATTTTTAAAGGTAGAAACTGAGATTCCAAGAGATTAGGTATTTTGTACAAGGTCCTTGTGAAACAAGGACTTTAAATTAGGTCTAATTTCTAAGCCAATAAAGTTTCTAACACACCTTCCTGCTTCCAGATTATGAAAGATGGTGCATTGGGATAAATGAACACTTTCCTTAGCATTAACCATAGACTACCCTTGATCCATTCTAATATATGGTTTGCCTTCTGACTTTAATGAATGAGGATTTAACTTAACAAGTCTTCCAACCATGCTGACCTGTTGGAGTGATTCACCCCTCAGGGGGATCTGGTAGGATAAAAGCACTAAAAATGTCTTACAAGTTATTTTTGCTTTGTTTTGGATTTTATTTTATTATATTTTTTAAAACTATTTTTCAGGGACAAGGTGTCACGAGCATGAATGTTATCAGTTCCCTGGTTGCGGTCGCCGGGATCACGCTCACCATTGTCACCTATAGACATCAATATGACTACTGCCAGAGGCCTTCCCTGGAAGGAATATGTGTGTTTGGGAGAACGCTTTTCATTGTAAGTGGTCTCGTTTTGTGCTATGAATCTGTAAAATCGTATCTGAATGTTTCTCTCCCGATGCAATGATTCATTCGTTTTTATTCTGATAATGGAGGCTGCGTCAGCATTTGAACATCGAGAAGTGTGTTATGGGATGATGGTTAAGCTGTAACAGGAGCTGTGCTGTCTGGATTTTAATCCTGATTTCGTCACATGTAAGAGTGTGACCTTGGCCTAACATCGTATCCTTTCTGAGCCTCAGTTTTCTTCATGTGGAAAATGAAGACAATAAGAACACCTACCTCATTGGGTGGTTGTGAGTATTGCTTAAATTAAAACAGTACCTAGCACAGTGTAAATAGTCAATAATTTTGACTTATACAATTATTACTGATATGGATTGGATTAAGTTTTTTTTGTTGTTTGTTTTTTGTTTTTTTGATTGGATTAAGTTTTACCTTTTCAGCTTTAATGAGGGACAAAATGATCTAAAAAGTTTTCTCTCTTAACACTAAAAGCAAAAATGCAGTGGGGGAAGGTATTCAAGCCACTTAATAAAGTGTGGCATTCTAATAATCTTAGGACGTAGGTTATTTTATATAATTGCAGCGATTTTATTCACTCAAGCAGATGAGATGTCTTTTTACCAAGAAATGTAATTATAGATATAATTTTAAGTATCTAATGAGTAATCAATGACATTATTTAAGCATGTCAGTGATTCCAATAGGCCTTTCCCTCTAGTTCCCTAAGTCCTGGGTTTTCATTCTGTTTCTACCAGCTGCATCTTGAAGGCTTGGGTCCTAGGGTTTTAAGGATATTTGAATCTGTTGGGATAAGAAGTGAAGAAAGGAAAAAGAACTATTAGTTACTGAATACAAGATCATATTTAATCCTCACAATCACCCACTGAAGTGGGCCTAGGGACCCTCTCAAGTGTTCTGAGATAAATTCCAAAATTGGACTCATAACATGTTACTAAGGAAAGCCAGAATACAACATAAGGGAAAAAATCCTGTCCCAATTGGGCCAAGAACATCATACAACATTATAATTCTTGCCCTTTTCCCCAGTGGACAGGATCCTACTACTGTCCCAATTGTATCCTGAAAGGGTTAATTCTCCAGATCTATCTCCTGCCGTCCATGGATGGGTACTGCAGGATTAGTTATCTATATACAGAATCATGGACAATTTGCTCCTAAGTCACTTAAATAACTTCATGATTTCTTGCTGTAACCCAAACATCATAAGCTAAATAAATAAATAAATAAAGCCACAACCAGGGGCTTTAGACATCTCTTGGACTGACCCATGTCCCAAAGACCAACCTATTATCTACACTGTGGCCAGAGCCATCATTTAAAAATGCAAATCTGAGCACATTACTTATTGGCTTCCTGATAAACAAAGGAATAAGACCCAAATCTTAAGAGGCTTACAGAGCTCTATAACAGCTATCCCACCTACCTTTCTGACATCATCCCAGGACTTTATCCTTCTCACTCCACAATCCAGCCACTTCATGGAATCCCTTACTGTGTCCAGTGCCCACTGCCAGGGCTATAAGACTACCTTCTTCCTGAATGGTCCCCTGACCAGTGCTCACCCTTTTCTACCTATACAATTAACTCATCCTTACACTTACACCTCAACTCAAACATCACTTCTTTAAGGAATTCCTTCCAGATCTGGTTAGATCGCTCATTATAGCAGTGCCTTGCTCCCGGTCCTTCTTCACAGCACTTATCGCAAATAGTTAAGTAAATATCCAATTATTTGTTACTGTCTGCCTCCCTTACTGTGATGTAAGCTCCACAAAAACCAAAACCAGCCCTACGTTGTTCAATGGCTGCAGCCAGTAAATTGCACACAGTAGGGTCTTCAGACATTTAAGTTTTACCAGCAAATGGTGAATATATCTAAGCCTTCTGGATATATTGCAGGGAAACCAAGATTCAGAGAGATCAGTCACTTTTCCAAGATTAAGTGTGACTTTGGACGCAATTGTACCCAGCTCTTTCTGTCTCCAAATTTTAAGCTTTTTGGATATTATGCTATGTCATGCTGCTTCTCAATCTAAACATTACCTTAAAGCAAAGCGTGCAAAATGGCAATCTGTGGGGTAGGGTCCAGCCTGTAGATATGTTCTATTTGGCTCACACAGGTGAATAAATAGCTGAAAATTTTCAACTCAAAAATATGTATAACCAGCTTCCTAAGGAAAACAAGACGAAACAAAACAAAAGAGGTACCACAGTCCCCATATTCCCACATGGCAACAATTGGCTGGAACTGAGTAACAGACGTCTCCTATGAGTAGCGTTACTCACTACTCTCTACCTTCCTGTTTCGCTCAAGATGGTTCACTGGCTCCCACAGACATGGGAGTTTGTTATCCCTGCCTTATCAGAAAGACATGAGATGAAAATTGTGCAGCTTATCTTTAAAACAATACAGCTTTCATTTCATTTATTTCTCCTCATTATTTGCAGGGAATTTTATCAGTCTTACTGATCATCAGTTTAGCAGAGCTCAGCATCTCTGTGACTATTGCATGCTTTAGAAGCAAGTGCTGGATACATTCAGATGAGGTGCGTTCAATGATGTTATTAGAATTAGCTCCTATTGGGACACTCCAGAGTGACTTCTGGTCTATTACTGGGCAGAGAAGTGTGCTCAGATGCTGAACTGAAACCTCTATGTTTAGGAAGGTCCGTCATCATTTAAAATGGCCCCACCCTTTGAGGTAACAATGCTTTTTTTTCTTGCCCTACCTGCTATCCTCAGTCATCCCTGTTCAGACACAAATCCTTATCACCCTGCCAAATATATAAAATATCAGACTTAATGGGAACCCAAATTTCTGTGATGTGGGGAGCTTATTTGTGGGTCATAAGGGGGTGTGAAACAATTTCCTATGTGAAACAATACCAGAGAGGAAGTAGAGAAAAAAATATTAACAGTGATACCAAATATCGTTTATAATTATATAGTTTATATTTACTGAATGCTGACTATGTTAGTCATTGCTATAATCACTGAGCATGGACTTAATCTTAACAAAACTATTATAACACCTTTATTTTGCATTCGAAGGAACTAAGGCACAAAGAACCTCTCAGGTATCACATAACATCAGGTTTCTGACTCA